TATTGAAACCTCCACTCACGATATTTTGCGACGGAATACCCCAATACATTTTTTTCCGCCTTCATGATTAATAATTATAATTTATGATTCCCATTAATAATTTCTTTACACTCTTTTCACACTTCTTTCCGCACTTCTTTCCACACTTCTCTCCATGCTTTTTTCCGTATTATTCTGAAAGCGTTTAACGTGACTCCTCTACATTCAAATAGAAATGTCACGTTTAAGTCACATAAAGATGACTATGCTGGCGTTATTTCATTATTATACTAAAAATTGACGATTAACAGATCTTAATTAAGTTAGGGATATGAGATTGAATGATTCTTCCCAAACATAAGGCAACAATAAATTTATTTTTCTCCAAAATTTTCGACAAACTTTAAGGACTGTGAATCAGGTGTATTTGCCCTCCTATTTCAACCTATAAGTCAAATACGATTCACAATGTTTGTTGCTCCGGCTAAAGAAAATACTATGCAGAAATTATGAATTTTCGGAAAATGACTTTACGATACCTCCGTGACGGTGACGATGTATTTGTCATGAAAAGTGGTTTGAAGGGAATAAAAGGTGCATAAAGGTGTGGTTTCCAAAAATAGTATAATTTTATGGATTTGAAATGGTTTATTTCTTGTGCATATTTCTCACCTCATTCTGAAATCATAAATTTTGTTTTTTTTCCATTATAAAACTCATCAAGTCTACAATTGTAATAGATTGAAGGAAATGTATGTCTGCGCAACAATAGCTACTATCAAAAGATATCTCTTCGATATACATCATAGCTTTCTCATTAAATATCTTGTTTCAGCATCATGTTGTGCTGCACTATACTTTCTCGCATAATAAATGACATTTTTCTTTGAGAAGACAGTTCCAATTCTTTAATAGTTAATATTAGCAGCTATCATATCTATAATTGCGGTTAAATAATGCACACGTAATGTACAGTAACAACAAAAAACTTACTTCTCAATTTTATCCTTTTCCTCTTTTTCTTAGTTTTTAAGCCGTCCTATCGAATGTTATAGAATTTGTAAAGTTTTCTCCAATTTTTACTCCACATTTCTCTGCATGTGCCTAACTTTCACATTGTATATCCTCTAAGGGCCATTAAAAATGAAAAAATCACAGACAGTATTTTTGGAATGGCGCTGAGCTGAGTTCGACCTTCAAATATTACACAGTTTATCATTGAAGTTCTCTAATCCTATACGGAATTACCGTCCCAATGGAGTGAATATACTTCCGGCACGCAAATCATAGTTACATGATGAATTTCATGGATTTTATTATTGGTGTGAATGCTAACTTCGACTTTAAAATTAATTGAAATTTACGTAAGAAAACCTTTCAAAGCGTGGAAGCTCATACAAGGGAGGTTGGAAAGTTACACGCCCCCAATCATCAAACGTCACATCGTTGAAGAGGTATTACCCTCTTCACGCACATGCAAAGCTGCTAATCGATATCTAGTCGTATGATGGTCGCACGGTAGAAAGACGCGACTACAGTATAAGATGAGCCCTCTTGATACGTATTTCCATTCTCTCTAAGGCTCATAGAAACATGTAGGTATGTAATTTTCTTCTCTAAGTTTGGGAGAAGCTGTGCTCAACGCGTGATCAACATAAAATGGAAAGGGAAGAATCTTTGACGATGCCATTCTACCAGTATTTAAAATTACGGCTGCATTGGATTGTTTCATGATTTTTCCACATTAATATGTTCCCAGGGATGCCATCTAATCTTTAAAAGTACCATTCTTTCATTTGTAAGAGGAAAAGTCCATAAGTATGCGCGGAAATGTAACTGTTTCTTTTTTTTAAAAAAAAAATTAGGATTTTTGTTGCATTTTTGCTCAGCCGAACAATATACGTGATGGAGTGAGTGAGAGACACGATGGCAAAGAACAGGAAAAATAAAAATATTTCTTGGGAGTTAATCATCAAAAATAAATTGAAATATTATTGAAATTCCGAAGAATGTATACGATTGTTAAAATTATTTTTTTTTATTTTTTTTTTCTTGCTGCTATATTGGAATGAAAAAACTCCGGTTCAAAGCACAATTGTGCTCACTTGAAATTCTGCATGGGAGTTACCGCATTCTGACGTGTTTTTTATTTTGAAATTGATCATTGTTCTCGCCTTTATTATTTAATTTGACTTCTATCTGAACTGTGACTGATCAAGAAAAAAGTATAATATTGTTGAAACATAGTAATTTTTAATATTTGCAGAAAAAAGGTTAAATTCAAAAGATTTTCAGAGATTTCAAGATTTGTGAAACCAAAAGGGTGTATTCATTAAAAAGTGTCTCGCAGAATTGTACAGTAATGCAGTGTGCAGTTGTGCAGTGTGTATTCGGGGGAAAATATTTGTGCTCAGAATTGTGTTTAACTGAACCGCATGGTTTTGATTCTTTTTTTTTTTTTTTTTTTTTTTTTTTTTTTTTTTTATCAGAAAATTTCAATTTTATCGTTTTTCATTTGAAATTCATTCAAAAACAATATTTAAGAAGTGGCTCCTACATGCGCGTACACATTTACAGATACATCTGCAACGTATGCAGGTGCATAGAATGTTTAGATATGTATACGCACTTCAAATTAATATATTTTGAAAGTTCCCCAAGTCCATATCTACACACACGCACTCCAGTGATCAAGTAAAATTCTTGGTATGATTTTGATGAATGCAAAAGCTGTTTGGGAATGCTCTTTATAAAAGCAATAATGGCCCAAAGCATGGAAGTCTCACAAGAAATTAGTTATAGCATTCAAAATCCATTGGATTGATTAAAATGAACAGGTAAAATTATTTTAGTTCCCCGTTCATGGGGATAAGATCGTGCTATTTCTTGAAAATTCGCAAGTACCTATAGAAAACCCTTTTAGGTATCGAAGATTATTTATGATACCAATGTGATCATAAATCTGATGATAAATGCATTTCTTCAAAATTCTACTTAAACTCTTAAAACTCGTATAGATTCATGAACCGTGATTGTTGTAAGTTGGGGAGGGGGAGGGATAACCACTTGCAGTTTGACAAAAACCATCAGCCTTTGTCATGCTTCATTTTGGTAAACACGCGATGTTTTACGGACTCATAATTTCGTGAATGATACATGCATGCATATTTTACAAGATAATAGTCGAATCAGGTATTCCGTTAAATTCCTAGACAAACAATCAAATTTTGTAGGCCCACTTTCCAAAGTTCAGCATTATTTTGAAAATGATAACTTGATTTTTCAGCATTTTGAATGAAAAAAATGACGAAAATACCAATTTTTTTTAGATTTGATGGCTCAAAATGTTTTTCATTCTTTTTTCCTTCAAACTTTTAGAACATCCAAGTTTCATAAAATATTAGACAATTTTGAGGTAGATGCTCATTCGGAGCTAAAGATGTAGGGAGCAGGGGATTTTTAGGGATATTTAATAATCGCACGAGCACAACACAGATCATGTTTCTGTGCATATTTGCATACTTTTTCATTCAAAAACTAATAAAAACATTGAATAAAGTAATTCATAAAATTGATTGTATGCCAAAGCACTCGGCAAATAGCCTATTTTGACTTTTCCAAAGTTTTACTGCACCCCTATTTTCTTTTCTTTCATAAAAAGCATTATTGTTTTGTTCCTTACTGATCAAAATCTACAAGCTCTTGAGCATTCTGCGATAACATTTTTAAAAAAAGATTGAATGGGCGTATTTATGATAAAGGTGACAGTGAACAAAATAATTCAATCAAGAGGAACTACTCGGGAAGTGAATCCCATGCGTGTAGTTCCTCTCAATTTTGACACATTTCTTCCTAGGATACGTGTGTCCAGATTAATGGTAACATCGATAACCAATTTTAACTTGAATTGACAAAAAATTAGCCTAGATGCATGAAATTACAAAATTGTTATTCAATGAATCTAACATACCAATGCATTTCGGCAAACACTATCATCAGGGTACAACTTACAAACACACATAAAATTACCAAAACACAGTAATGAAAAGTAACATATTGGTTGAAAAATGAGCCGGTATAATTTATACAATTTTGTTTTTTACCATGTCACTTTATATTAATGTGTCTTGTTAATTTTATGTATTTTTTTAAGTTGTGCCCTGATGATGGCGTTTGCCGAAATGCATCGGTATCTTAGATTAATTTAATACAAATTTAACAAGTTCATGAATCCGGGCTAATTTTTTGTCAAGTCATATTAGGATCGCATTTAGAAAAAAGGTACCAGCGCTATTACAGTGTTGTAAAAATTTTGCTTATTTATAAAAAGCTAGAATTCTCTCAGAATAGCAAATACTTTCTGCTTCCCACCAAAAAAAAGAAAAAAAAATTGAAAAGAAAATAAGAATGCAAATTTTAATACTGCACACTGAAAAAAAATATGGTAAATTTCACCAGACTCTGACACAGTGAGACGAGAATGGTAATAAACACCAGGCTCTATGGTAGCATTTATCATATTATGGTAAGTATCAGTAAAGTTCTTGTGAATACTACCATAATTCTGGTTATTTTCACTAAATGGCATCCCTGTGTAAAAACTAGTAGACTTATAGATGTTACCATACTTTTTTTTTCAATGTACATTCGTTGAGAAAACTCAACAGGAAAAAAGTAGTTGCACGATTTTGAGGACACTGTCATCGCGCTGGTTCCTTTTTGCTAAATACACTGGAAAAAAACACACTGGATCTAGAGCCAGACTCTTGAAAACATTGACAAGAAAAAATACTCTTGATTCAATCGGATTTTTGCTTGAATCAAAACGAAATCCGCTCAAATTAAGAGGCTTGGTTCTTGATTTAAGCTAGATTCTGATTGAATCAAGAGTACTTTTTCTTGTCGATGTTTTTAAGAGTCTGGACTCTAGATCCAATGTGTTTTTTTCCACAGTGGATGCATTCAGTAGATGCAATAATGCAGAACTTCAAGAAATTTTAACTTACTGCATCCGAACTTACATTAGGGTTTGGCATACACCTCCTCATGGGGTCTGGCGAGCGGTAGGTAGGCGAGTACCTGCCCGGGAAGCAGGTCCCCGGACCGCTCATAGGCAAGGGTGGCTTCGTCGACATCATCTTCTCGGGTGAGTACATCATCGCACAGACTTTTTTTGGACGTCCTAGGACATCGTCCCGTTTTGAGCGCCCCCAGAGGAGTCAGCGCGAAGATCAAACGAACAGAGAAACTCGAAACCACGGAACAACACTTCACAAAACCAGCAGCACATCCATCGCGGGTTAATTCTTACACGCACGAGTGAATCCAACACGCGCGCGAGTCAATTTTCACACGCTCGCGAGTCAATTAACACACGTTCGCGAGTCAATTTTTACACGCTCGCGAGTCAATTTTTGCGCGCTCGCGAGTCAACTTTTACACGCTCGCGAGTCAATTTTTACACGCTCGCGATTCAATTTTTACACGCTCGCGAGTCAATTAACACACCCGCGGAACTTTTCCCGGGCTCCGGGACCCGTCGAGCGGGAAACCCGCATGGGTTGGGGGAAAAAATCCCGAGTTCCCGCCAAAAAAAAGAGAAAAAACCCGCCGAACTCGCGACTCGCGGACGCACTGGCGAAAACGCGACGCGACAAGTGGACGATTAGCCGGTCCCGAAATCGCGGTCAATTACTACGGCCTGGGCCCCGTTAGACGCGCTAATCGGACGGGCATGAATTTTGAAAAAGCGAGCGCCCTTTATGGGGGGTGCGTTACAAGTATAATAGATTAGCCTCCGCGAGGGGTTGGTGGCGCCGCGGCGCCGCCCGTCCGCGCAGCCGCGACCCCTCCCCCAACCGCGAAAGGGGCGGGCTGAGCCCCCACCCCCCGCCCCTCGTCCCTTCCTCTATTTTCAACCTTCCATTTAATTGAACGTATAGGGCTTCTTTCAAACCCTTTCTTCACGTCGCGCCCGTCCCCCGCCGACCCCCCTCCCCCTAGGAACCTTTTCGGTTCTCATTATGCTTCCCTCCTCAACGCATGTGAAATTATTCGCGTTTAAAAGATCGAGGCAATGAATTCTTCCCGGCGTTTAACTTGACGTTAATACGGCCGTTTTTCTTCATTAGCGATTTGAGTTAACCATAAATAGGGGAAATGGGAGGGAATATGCACTCGTCTGCGGTTTCGCAACCGGAAACGATTTATTTGCGTTTAATATCCGTTTAATCACATTCATCCTTTATCTCCGTTTACTTATCGAAATATTTAATAGTTCTATTGCACTTGAGGCGATTCGTCACCGTTTCTAGCGTGGTTGAACTGCACCGGAAAAAATAACACATTGGATCTAGAGTTCAGACTCTTGAAAACATTGACAAGGAAAAGGACTCATGATTCAATCAGATTTAAGGTGATTCGATGGACGCCATATTTTGTGTCAGAACGGCGTGCGATATATCGCATCAATTGGTTCCATTTTTTCAGCTACTCGTCATTTTTCTCCAATTTTGAGATCGCAATTCTGGTGTCGGGAGACTAAAGCATTCACTTACCAATTTTAACAGAGAAATTCAACGTAATAAAGGCGTGGTTTTTTCAGAGAGAAAACATCGCATTTGATACTAATATCGAAACTGCACTCGAATGCGATATTTTCTCTCTGAAAAAACCACGCTTTTATAACGTTGAATTTCTCTGTTAAAATTGGTAAGTGAATGCTTTAGTCTCCTGACAACAGAATTGCGATCTCAAAATTGGAGAAAAATGACGAGTAGCTGAAAAAATGGAGCCAATTGATGCGATATATCGAATGTCATTCTGACAAAAAATATGGCGTCCATCGAATTACCTTAAGCTTAAATCAGAAGGAAATCCATTCAAATTAAGAGGCGTGGTTCTTGATTTAAGCTTTCTGATTGAATCAAGAGTATTTTTTCTTTTCGATGTTTTTAAGAGTCTGGACTTTAGATCCAATGTGTTTTTTTCCAGTGTGGCGTGCGATATATCGTATCGGTTATGTCCAAAATCTCGGCAGATTTTGAATTTTTAGCGAAAAGGAGGACGAAAGCCCTTGCACATGAGGCTAAAGAAACATTCCAGACCAAAAAATTGACAAAATTCCGAGGAATGTAAGCAGAAGTCTGTTTTGAAGAAACTTCACATTCGATACATTTATCAATAACTTTCAATCAATCAATCTCTTTGTTAAGTTTTGTACTTTTCACTTTTAATTTGCACTGATGAAGGTCGTAGATACAATGGCCGAAACGTTTGCTTGTAAATGACACCTTATGCTTGATACTTAACAATCCTGTGTTGTCCTGATGTTAAGTAGAAAATAAAAAAAGTTTTTGGCTAATTAAGCTCAATGTTAATTCTAACCTCTGAAAATAATAAGCCAGCCGAAAGGCATTTCACAATTTATCAATAACTGTACCTATCGAATGAGGTTTTTTTTCTAAAGAAGGCTCCGCCTTTATTTCTCTGAATTTTGCTAATTTTTTGGTTTCGAATGAGTCTTTAAGCTTATTCGCGGGGGCTCTGGTCCTTGTTCTGGCTAAAAATTGAAAATCTGCCGAGATTTTGGACATAATCGATGCGATATATCGCATGCCAGTTCGACCAGGTCAGAAACCTTGACGAATCACCTGAGAGATACAGACCAATGAAAAGATTGTTTGGAGGTGATGCTGCACAAAAATCGCGGTGGATGTATCAGGAAAGTTCGAAAATTGCTACTTAAAAATATTTGCCCAGTGAGTATGATGCGTATACACATTTTCCGCGTCCGAAGACACTTTTTGTTTTGGTAATCGGATTGGACTCCCCCCCCCCCAAAAAAAAAAAAAAAAAAAAAAATAAGACCTGACTTTAATTTCCAAATAGTCATAAGCAATCATAAGCATTTATGAATCTTCATAAAGTGGGAGTTCTGATGTTCCAAATACTTTTTAAGGAAGAAAATTCTTGGAAAATAACCTTAGATCATCAATTAAAATGATAAAACTGCCGTGCAACGCAAAAACGCTGTACACGCCTTTTAAAATTTTTTGGAAACAATGTGTCGCAGCAGAAAAACTTGTGTACGCTAGAACAATGTTTTTACAGAATTCTTTTGCAAATACTATCAAGAACTTAACCTGAGAATTTGAGGTGCATTAGTAAAACAGTTTTTATTTTATAAAGTGTTAAGTTCCAAAAAAAAACGCGGGAAAATCTTGATGGATTTACTGCGTTCTTGCTCAGTATGGCAGATAAGTAGTTTGCTAGACTTTTTATTGTGTTTTCGGCAAAGTTTTCTTTCATCTTTTTCCGGGCAAACTGAGGACGAAAACAGTAGTACGACTGGATCAGAGACATTGTTAACCTAATTGAGTAATTTGTTGGAACATATTACCTAAACGCTAACAACGTTGGAGTGCACTGAGAATAAAATCCGCGTTCCAGTTACGGATGTTACCACAGGACGACAATGGGCGTTCCTTTGAAATAGTAGGAATATTGTTTAAAACGAGGTAATTTCCCTCTGTTTTAACGAGAACCTTCTGTCACAGCGTATAAAATAGGAATTCCTGTTGATCTAACTAGGAATTATTTCAGTGCGTGAGATGTTTTAGTGTGGGTTAAAGCTCACAGATAACATTGAAAAGAAGAAACACAACCTGAAGTAAAAAAAGCATCCTTAAAATCATACGTACTTTATATAACTTTCTTCAAATTATAGCGAAAGTAATGCGTTGATGGAAGCATTGAAAATACCCGGATCCAGACTTTCCGAATAGGGGGTGGGGGTGGGGCGAAAATAACCTGTGGGCTTCCCTCAGCATATCTTTGAAATTTTAAAGTATCTAACATGCCGTTTGAATTAATTTCGTCATGAAAAATTACGGAATACCAGCGCCCTTCCTTCTTTCCTCCGTTCCTTCATTCTATCTTTTCCCCCTTTTTCTTCCTCCTCTTTGTTGGGCGAACGCCCCCTAGACCACCCCCTATGACATTGAAAATTTTTTGCAATTTTGTCACGAAAACAGATTGGGAGACACTAATCAGTTGGAGATAGTGAGCTTCAGGCAATCCGAGATATAAAGGAAGGTCAGAGCGAACAATCTATTTTTGACGGAGATATAGGGTGGCAGTGGGCATTCCGGCGCATATCAAACAATGATCTGATTAGCTTTTTTGGCATCAAAGAAACATGCTCAATTGCTCACGTCCCAAGAGGATTAGCTCATACCTCATACGGGATACTTGGCAGGTATATATATACCTCCAATACTTGGAGGTGGCTATTCTGGGCGAATTGCAAGAGCCTATGACGCATTACGCATTTTGATACTGAGACAAACCCGAGGGGTCTTTCATGAAATACGGATCCCTTTCCTCCCTCCAAAGACAAATAATTACTGATACATCAAGAGTTTCCCTTCCCTTTTTAGCTTTCAGTTGATACTTGAAATTTTGGTGAGCAAATGGACCACTAGACAAGGTACGAATTTAAGCAATCTGATACATGTTTCTTAACCAGAAGTTCACGTAGAACACGATTCGCGCAACGAAAATTACTGAAACCAACTCCTAACGGAGATATGAACATTTTTATTTCACATTGGTTACGAGGAATTTGAACTGCCCGCTCACAAGAAACTCAAAGCTCTACGTGAGTCAAATCGCGCACTACGACGGTTTCAGAAAGCTTCTTAATCAAGCAATGTTCAATTCCCAAATTCCATTTTCCGCTCGAATTTCCATCAATTTCCGATCAAATGGCGACTGGTGCGCACCATCTACCATCAAATTTTTGCGACCTGCAAAAATCTGACCGACATTTTTGTCATCATTTTAGTGCGCACCAGTCATCATTTGATCCAAAATTGATGGAAATTTGAGCGTGTATCCAGGCCTTAAAATGTAAAATTTTCGAGGTGTCAGGGCAAATCTTCCCTATCCACGAAATACCATGCTCCCACCACGTCGAGCCTCCTCTTTGCATATCGTGCCCGATGACCCCCATGTAAACCTGTAGCCGTGCAACTAGCCGAGAGCCGAGCACTTCCGGTATCATCACCAAATCCCGCGGTCAGTCCAATTTCCGGTCTGCATAAGGACACGACCCGAGCTGACCCTTTCGGAAATTGAACTTAATTGAAAATAATTAATAACGCCGGCCCGAGTTGAGACCCGCTCGTCCACGTGCTCGGATCAGGTCTGCCGGTTTGACAAACCGGAAAACCCCCCGAAGACGACGCTGAATGCACCCACGAGGGCGGAGTGGCAACACTGCATACTTACACGTACAATTAGTGGAGTTGTACACACAATCGATAGCGAGCCTCGCTGAGGACAGGTTGGTAATGATAGGATAATAACCGGAAATGAGGGGTTAGGTTTTACTCGTGCGCAACCCGGTGTTCTAGTGGTCGTTGTCACG